GCAATTGCTTGAGCTTCACCCGGGCAGCCTGTGGCGTCAGCGAAAGCACCACTCCAACTACCAGAGCTTCGAGGCGGCGGATTAGGCCGTTGACCTTGGAAAGGAGGTCCGGCCTGCGGGCGCAAAGAAGAGTCAGCTGGAGGCAGAGCACGATCTGGAAGGTTTGTCTGAGGGCCATAGAAATAGGAATCTGGAAAGTTGGTTTAGTGGCTTGCAAGGTTTTCCCGACTGAGAGAAGATGTTTGACATGTACTTTGTCGTCCTTTGCCTGTGCAGAAGGGGCGGACGGCCTGTGACCCTAAGCTTGCCCGGAGATCTTCAGCACCCAGCATGCCTTCGCCTGTTCTCGCGTGTTCGGCTTTCCCAGCACTCCGGGAGCGAGAGGGTGGAGGGGATGAGAGGTAGCACTGCCTCTTCCAGACGGCTCCGCTGCTGCGATCCTCCCCGCCGGTTCTGTATCTCCACCGTGCTGCCTCTCTGCGAGTCTCTTCGATTCCAGCATCGGTGTCGCATGCACTTCAGATCTTCGCGTGCTCTTGGCACACGCCGCCTCCCGAGCGTTGCTGTGTGACCGACTAGAAGTTTTGACGGGCGTTGGAGCTTTAAGGAGTCTGAGACTTTGGAATTGGGCGACATGAGGTTATCTGCAGGTCCACGCTCCCACATGGCTATGCTACGTGTATGTTCCAGCATTGCACCCAACAAAGTTGATTCGCCGCCACCGGCGGCAACTGTGCTCCCGACTTGCTCTGCTGCCTCTATGGCACAGCTGGCACCGACGTCGCATGCGCAAACTAGAAAGCTGGAGGCACTCACTGCAGCATCCGTGACATAATCTGATATCCTTTATTCACACTACCCGCCTGTTTCGTGGCCTTTCAGTCGGCCGTCGCGGAGATTAGCACGGCAGCTGTTCAGCTTCGAGACCTGCCAGCTCTGCGTGTCTCCACATGGAGGGGTTTGCAATTCCGGCCATGGCTTCTGCTGTCACTGTTGCGGCAACGAGGTCCGGTCTCTTGCATCCTCCGGCCTCGGTTGCCGTGCCATTCTCTTGCCTGCACTTCCGTGATTTCACTGCTGTTTGAGGCCGGGCTGCCCTGTGGCTCTGCTTGCACATGTTTCTGCAG